GCAGCGTTGTTAGAATCGCATGATCGTGTGCGTCCGTCCGTGCCGTCCCTCGGCGTCGTGGCGTAACAGTTGGGCCGACAAATCTCAACGCCTGCGACGTTACGTCACGATAGTGCTGGCACATCGGGGAGGATCGTCAAAACGAGTTGGAGATGTCGAAGCTGGGGTTCAAAGCCCGTTCAAAGTCAAGAGTGTGTAAAAAGAAGGGGCGAACATTCACATCCTAACTTAAGGTATAGGAGTAAAACGCGCAGAATTGCGGCACAACATCTAAACGGTCGACCTACGGCTCGTGGATAGCGGTGTATAGCATCAATGGTCAGGAAAGAAGCCATCACTTGTGCCGAAATTGGAGGTCACAGGTCAAAGGTCAGTGGGCACAGGGCAGATTTTTAGGAAATTTTCTCTGAGGACATGGTTCTGGACGGAGCGACTTGAAAAAACTTTTTTGTTTCAGCGGTGACCTAGCATTTTTATGGCTTATTGAAAGGACCATGAAATGTCCCTTCTGCTGACAATGCCGAAGAGTAAGTTGTCGGATAACCTTTGAACCCTCAAGAGGAGGGTTAGAACATGGATTTGTTCCACTGTTCAACAACAGGACTGAAACTGCTTTTGCTAGTAGAATCCCTGCCGCCCACCCTCCGGTCCTCTTCCCCTCCCCACCCACCCCCCCACTTCTTCGCCCCACCCTCTCCCACCCACCCCCTCCCGCTACCCTCCATCTGCGATAAGTGGGCTTGTGTCTTAACCTCATGATGTGTAACTGCAACTGCGTAGTCTGCATATCTGCGCCTAACAAAATTGTGCGTACTAGTACGCAACGATGAAATTTTACGTTTTATAATCGTACGCAACAGACCCTCAAGATGAGCCCAGTACGGTTGCGCGGCTCTTTCGTTAAATATAGTGGAAAAGGTATTCTTTATCTAAGTAAAGTAAGTATTTAGTCAATGTATGAGTGAACAGTATTTATATAAGTAAGTAAATTATCTAGTAAATGTTGTTATTAGTGTAAAAGCTGCTTGGAACACAAACCCTGGCTGTGTGATGGCTTGCTTGGAGCTGCTGGATGACAATGTCGTCATCGTTGCTTTCGTGTGAGATTGCGTGCTGACGCGTCTTCAAATCATGTGGTGTTCGCCGAACGTGGCGGAGGTGCTGGAGGGCGCCTCTAACATTACACCTGCCTAACTGGAAGAGAGTTGTGAGCAGAAGTGATTCGCGGAGTAAGCGCAATCCGCGCGAACACTCGCTGCCTCCATTAATGCTTCCATTAATGCAACTAGATGGCGAAAAATCATTGGCACGGAAGTAATCATATGGGCTCTACGTACATCACAAGGCGAAAATACTCGGGAATACGATCATAACAGGGAGGGTGTATTACAATGTTCCATTAACAGTGCTAGATGCGAAAAATTCGGCACGGCAGGAGTAACAAACAATTCTACGATCACACAGGCCAGAGAATTAATTACTCGAGAATAAAACCGAGGTACTTTTACAAAAAAAAACCACCGGCAGATGCTGCGGGCACAACTATTGTCTAGCCAGCGACACAGCTCTGGTGCAAGACAGACTGGTAAAGAGGGAAGCCATTCATGAGCCTGTGTGTGTTTGTTGCAGCGTCGCTAGAAAGCAGGTTGGCTGCGCTGGTGCGTGGGAGAGCTGCCGAATGCTTGTACGAACCATCCTCTGCGACTCTCCATCACCATCATTGCACGGCCGGACATCATTATACCTTGCAATGGTAGCGACGGAGAAGTACAGTGTATCTATCAACGTACATGAGTGCAGGAGAAGGTCACGTGGTTGATCACCGTACATGGGTGCAGGAGAAGGTCAGTGGTGTGCATCACGTACATGGTGCAGGAGTAAGGTCAGTGTAAATCATCACGGTGCAGTGGTGCAGGAGGTAAGGTACAGATAGTGTCATTCACGTGCACTGGTTGCAGGAGAATAGTCAAGTGTGTGAATCACGTGCAAGGTGCAGGGAAGGAATGGTCAGTGTAATCATCAACGTCCATGGTGCAAGGAAGAAGTCAGTGTGTTGATTCACGTACATGGACAGGAGAAGTTAAAGGTCAGTGATGGTGACACGTGCATGGTGCAGGAGAAGTCGTGTACATGCACGTGCATGGTGGCAGGAGAAGGTCAGTGTATCATCACGTGCATGGTGCCAGGAGAAGGTCCAGGGTACTCAATCACGTGCCAATGTGCAAGGAGAAGGTCAGTTATTCATCACGTGCCACGAGTCAGGAGAAAGGTTCAAGTGCTGTGATTCACGTAATGGACAGGAGAAGGTCAGTGCTATCATCACGCTGCCATGTGCAGGAGAAGGTTAGTGTATCATGCACTGTACATGTGACAGGAGAAGCGTGTTAGTGTACATATCCCACGTTACAGGTGGTACAGGGAAAAGGATCAGTGTATCATACGTGCATTGGTGCAGAGAACAGGTCAGTTGACTCAATCGCACTGCTGGCATGGGGCATGGCAGATAGGTCCAGGTGGTGTCACTGCACGTGCGTGGTGCAGGAGAAGGTCAGGATGTGTGATCACGTGCAGTGTGCAGGAGAAGGGTACTGTAGATCATCACGTACATGGTAACAGGAGAAATCAGTGTAAATCAATAAAAATTCCCAAAAAAAACCGGCACTGGGTGCAGTGAGAAAGAGCGTCAGCTGTATCATCACGTACATCGGTGGCAGGAGAAGGTCATGTATCATCACTGTGACATGGTCAAGAGAGAAGGATGCACGTGTGTGATCACGTGCATGGTGCAGGAGAAGTCAGTGTAATCATCACGTTGCATGGGCCAGGAGAAGGGTCTGTGTACTCCTCACGTGTATGCATAGGTGCAGGGAGAAGGTCAGTGATCATCACGGCATGTGCAGGAGAAAGGCTCAGTGTGTGATCACGTGCATGGTGCAGGAAAGGTCCAGTGTATCAATCACGGTGCGATTGGGTGCAGGAAAGGTCAGTGGTGTGATCACTGTTATACATGGTGCAGGAGCAAGGTCAGTGGTCATCACGTGCATGGTGCGAGGAGAAGGTCAGTCGTATCTCACGTGCATAGGCTGACGGGAAGTCAGTGTGCTGCTCACGTACCATCGGTGCATGGAGAAGGTCAGTGTGTGATCACGTACATGGTTTTTTGCAGGATGAAGGTTCAGCTGGTCATCACTACAGGCAGTGGCTGTGCAGGAGAAGCGTCAGTGAGTGTGATCACGTGACAATGGCTGCAGGAGACAGGTCAGTGTAATCCATCACGTGCATCGGTGCAGGAGAAATGGTCAGTGTGTGATCACCGTACATATGTGCGGAGAACGCGTCAGGTGTGTGATCACGTACATTGGTTCAGAAAGGCAGGGATGACGGATGGTCAGGAGCAGTGTATCATGCCCCGTGCATGGGTGCAGAGAGAGTCAGTGTTATCATCACGTCGCATGCGTGCAGGAGAAGGTCGAGTGTATCAATCACGTCTATGGTGCAGGAGAAAGGTAGTGTAGTCAGTCACGTACAATGGGCAGGAGAAGGTCAGTTGTGATCCATCACTGCATGGCGCACCGGAGGAAGGTTCAGTGTATCATGCACGTGCATCGGTGCCGAGGAGAAGTCAGTGTAATCATCACGCGTCGATAGGTGCAGCCAGAAGGTCAGTGTAATCATCACGTGACTGGTCAGAGAAGACAGGTCAGTGTGATCATCATCGTAGCTAATGGTCAGGAGAAGGTCAGTGGTATCATCACGACATTGGTGCAGAGAACAGGTTCAGTGTATCATCACGTACATGGTGCAGGAGAAGGTCAGTGTGTATCATCACGTGCACATGTGCAGGAGACAGCTCTAATGGTGATCCACGTCACATGGTCGCAGGGTAGAAGGTCAGTGTTTCCGCAGGCAGAAGCATGTATCACGGCCGATGGTGCAGGAGAAGCGTCAGTGCTAATCTTCACGTAGCTGGGCAGTGAGAAGTCAGCGTGTATTCATCACGTACATGGTGGCAGAAGAAGGTCAGTGATATTCATCACGTGCCAGTGGTGCAGGAGAAGCAGGTCAGTTTGTATCATCGCCGTTACATATGGTGCAGGAGAAGGGTCCAGTGTAATCATCACGTGCATGCGCCGGCAGGTAGAAGGTCAGTGTATCATCACGTGACATTGGGCAGGAGAAGTCAGGTATCATCACGTGCGTGGTCAGGGAAGGGGAAGCCGTCAGTTGATATCATCACGTACATCGTCGTGCGTGCGTGCGTGCTTGTGTGCGTACTTTTGAGCGTGCACGTGGTCCTTTGTGTGTGTGTACGTTTGTGTGTGGCTGAATCGTTTGCTCACGCTGCTTAATATTGCAGTGTGCTGTTATCTGACAGCTAAGATGTCTCAAGCCAGCCCAACTGGTCATTGGTGGGCGCTGTTCTGTCACAAACTAAGAGCACTTGTAAATGCAAGAGATCCTGTTCAATTAATGCACTAGACGGCAAAAAAGCACGAAGTAACAAAGGGATTCTGTGTATCACCAGGCAGAATACTTGATAATAAAAGGCAGGGTGTATTACAATGTTCCATTAATGCGCTAGATGGGGAAAAAATCATCATGGGGTAACAATTGAATTCTATGTATCACCAGGCAGAATACTCGATAATAAAACGAAGGGCATATTACAATGTGCCATTAATGCGCTAGATGTAAAAAAAATCATGGCACGGAGTAACATATGGGCTCTACGTATCACAAGGGCAGAATACAGATCATAACAGGGAGTGTGTATATTACAATGTTCCATTAACGTGCTAGATGGGAAAAATCGGCACGGAGTAACAAACAGATTCTACGTATCACCAGGCAGAATTAATACTCGATAATAAAACCGAGGGTGTTTTACAAAAAAAAAACACCGGCAGAGCTGCGCGGCACACGTGAAGCCAGCGACGCAGCTCTGGTGAAGACAGACTGGTAAGGAGGGAAGCCATTCATGCTGTGTGTGTTTGTTCCAGTCGCTGAACAGGTTGGCTGCGCTGGTGCGTGGGGAGCTGCCGAAGCTTGTACGAACCATCCTCTGCGCTCTCATCACCATCGATGTGCACGGCCGGGACATCATTACCTGCATGGTGCAGGAGAAGGTCAGTGTGTGATCACGTGCATGGTGCAGGAGAAGGTCAGTGTGTGATCACGTACATGGTGCAGGAGAAGGTCAGTGTGTCATCACGTGCATGGTGCAGGAGAAGGTCAGTGTATCATCACGT